CAACCTCATAAATGGCTCGGTTTGTTTGGCTGACACTAATGGAGATTCCGAAGGTTCATGTTGAGGTTTCTCGTCATCGGCGTGTCGTCTTGAACTACGTGCTGCGGCAGGTGAGTCTGTTGTGCCGGGCGCAAGTCTGAAAACAGATGCAGGTTCGAGAGGATCGCTATCAACAATATCGTATCTTTTGCGCTTCCTTGTGGAAGACCGAGACGGTGACGATTTCCGTTTGCCAGACTGTCTCGAAGTCGTGATAGTCGGTTGTCTCAACAAGTCTTGCAAAGCTGGAAGATCATCACCGGCCATGCTCGTGTTTTCTGTATTGCCTGTCGAGCTTGCCTGACTGCTGGGCCCAGCACGATCGTTCATTGGCGACGTCTTCGGTGGTGAAGGTGAGGGAAGATCGAGTGTGTCCAAGCCGTCCAAAAAGTCCTCCGCACCCTTCAATTGGCTTTCATCAGATATGTCCGGTATGTTTGAGCCTTGGCTATCATCTTCAAAGTTCTTATCCTGCGAAGAATCTTGCTCAGCCTGTCGTCGACGTCGTTTTTCTCCTTCCATTGCAAGTCTGATTGGCCGGACGCCATGGCTCTTGAGCGTGTTGGAGTAGCGGGACAATTCAATGGCATAAGGGCGCTCTTGGATAGGCTTTCTGGGGCGAAATGACCGTTCGTAACGAATAGTAGCTTGTTGGGCAGCCTGATTTTCAGCAGCAGTGCCCAGAATTTGACTAGGCATGAATGTCGCATGGTCATCTCCAAGGACTAGTGACGAGGATGTATGCGCAGTATTCCGGCTGTCCTCGAACTCCGGAGCTGGGGGCGGTGACGATCGTTCAATCGCTATGTTTGATGTTTCATTACTGGCCGTATCGTTTTCCTGGGCTTCATTCGACAGCGTAGCTTCGGTCGTCACATTCGGTCGTTCAAGGTCAAGGTTGCCGATTTCAAGTAGGTCAACATCCGAGTGTATGGATGACAGAGGGGATGATGATGGAATATCATAAATATCAGAGGGAAATTCGTTTCTTTTGGGCTGCTCTGACGTTACTTCCGGTATTCGAGCAGGTGTCTTGGTTGAAAGAGCATGGTGGGTAAGCTCCTGTGAGGAGTTGGGGACATCCCAGATATCGCGATCTTTATCCGTCTCCTCGTGGTTGGCCGTATCAACTTCTCGATTCTTGGATCGTTCGCTAATGGTCTTATTCGTCTGCCTGGTCGTAGGCAATGATGGTAATTCTTGGCTCTCGAATCCATCTTCTTCCTCAGAATCGGGGACTTCTCCCAGTTCCTTCCAGTTGCTCATTGTCCAAATGACATTATTTTGTCGCATACATGACGTCGGGTCGGAGTTGTGAGTTTTTCGTTCAAAACGACTTGAATCAGTAAAGAGATGGAGTTGGAAATATCAATACCGAGGGTGGTGTTCACGGTTCAGCAGGTACGTAACTCTTTAATTGATTTCATGGCCGGGGCGGGGCGGGGAACGCGGTCGAGGAAACCGGGAGACGCGTCGGGCAAGTGCAAGTGCTTACAGACACGCGAGGTCCCTTGAGCAAGTTTTAGTGGAGCAGGTTCCGGAAGCTTCAGCGTGTGCGATCCACTATAAATCTGGTCCCAATTATTTCGAGTTCGAGTCTGATGTAGCTACCTACCCTTAACTTAACGACATTTGAGACTTGCTCAGAACTAGAGGTTAGTCGAAATACTTCAAGACTATCGCTTCCTTCTGATATAATATACTCAAAATGCATGTTTTCGAGAGAGCATTGCCATTGGCTTTGACTGTCTTTTGCGGTGTGGTTGGAGGTTAGTTTCGCTGGAAGTGCCTATTCTATCAAGGTCGTCATGCTCAGTAAAATACAGGATTCTACACTTTTCAGCCAATATTTGCAAATGATGCGCAAAAGAAGGTTGACTCGCCACTGAGGTACATAATTCCAAATGAGAATGGGACCGGACACTAACGAGATTCGCAGTACCGGGCAAAAGACAGAATCTGTAAAGGAGTCTTTACCTGCAGCAAAATAACTGCAGTCCACAGATACGTTATTAAGTGCCGCACAAGACCCCATATAATTTTAAATCAAATATTACTGTAGGATATCCTGAGAAGTTAAAGAAGTGAAGGTCTCTTTGCGTATTATTGTTTGAGTTTGTACTTCTATTCAATTTGGCCACCCTTTAGACCACCCAACGATCATTGAATTCTATCTTTTTGAAAGATAAAGGCACAAAGTCAACACTGTTAATCAGGTGATATAATTTACCAGCCATCCCGTCGACTGCTGTTGAGCGGAATCTCAGAATAAAGGAGCCTCTAAACCCCAAAGCAAATTCTCCCAATCCATTCCCTCCAAATCCATATTCAATCCCATGTCGCTCAACTCTTGGACAGATGCTATGGCATCATTTGGTGTCGTACCATTTGACAACATGGCAGTTGACGAGCTTGGTGTAGGTGGAAGGTTTTCACATCCCACCGGTCTCTGCCTCTCCTTGCCCACTGGCAGTGTCACTTTATGCTTCTTCATCACCTGTGTCAATAGATCTTGTATGCGAGCCGTGGGTCTGGAGAGTTCTTTGGCTGCCTCCAATATGTCCCATGCTTCCAACAAATCTTGTCGTCTTTGGTCTTTCTCGTCGGCATCAGCGCCTAGGCAGAAGTCCAAAATAAGAACAATACTGGCGATGAATACACTATGCAAGACTAAACATAACCTGAGTCGTGTCGAATTAAAAGTTGTAGCTTCCTTCTCGAGCTGGTGTTCTGTTTGTATGACCATGCGTGCTGAATCAAGACACACGCGCCGGGAGCGAGCATACGTAGGCTCGACTGCGCCACGGGCTAGATATGGGAGATGAAGTTTGCATCTTTGGCCATGGACAAAGACATTCATTACATGACGCTGAATAATCAGTCCTGGTTTTTTATGCGTGTCTGTAGCAGGGAGCTGCTGTGGCTCATCCGTATTAAACTTGAGGAATGGAGGTAGATCTTCAATGAATTGTCCGATGGCCGCATCGACTTCCAAAACAAGGTCGTATGAGTGGACATCTGGGTTTGACGAATTTGTGAGAGGTACTCGGTCAGTGAAGTTGCGGACGACCTCCGCCAGCCGTACCCTCTGTAAGAAATAAGACATATTGGTCGAACAATTTATTGGCTTTCCCACCAACTCTTGTCCTTCTACAAGATCTTCATCGTCGGCATTCAGAGGTTTTCTGACATTCATTTGCCTTGGATTGATCAGGTAGGTGCCTTCATGCGGGCCTGGAAATCGAGATATCATGCTGTAAACCATTAGATCAAACGCTATTGAGTTTTGGGTAGGGAGGCCTTACGCATCTGTACCAATGAGGTACCACCAAACTCGCCGAGCAGTCTCCATTTTGAGAGGACTGAGCTGGGGTATTTGCACCGAGGGCGGGTTGTGAGGGTGGTCAAGACGGTGCAGTCCGAGCTCACGGCAAATGGTGATGGAATTGAAGAAACAGTTTCGAGCTCGGGAGGAAACTCCTTCCAAGTTCAACAGGACGAAACTCACGATGATGAGCCCCTGAGCCGACTCGAGACCTATCTCCGACCTCCGCTGAGATGCATCGAATACATCGAAGGTTGATTTGAGCCATCCGAATGATTGGTTGTTGGCCTCTGTATAATCAGAGAAGAGAGGCGTCATGTTGTTGTCTACTGCTGTCCATGCGTATGTGACGTTAGCGCAGACTGCAAGCATCAGGAAAACTGAGCATAGGGAAACTTGTGTCCCCTTTTCAACGGCATCGTAGACCTCATCGACGAGTTTATATAGGCTTGGAGTGTGTATGACATGATGCATAAAAGTGATGACCGAGGTGTACTTGTGAACCAAAACCTTGGTTTCATGTCGTTGAGGCAACCAGATGCACCTTGTTGGTTCTAAAGAGAGGAAACCTGAGGGGACACTTGAGTTTTGAAAGATGTAACATGACGGCTGTGCAATTGAGCGTATAGGACATATGCGGAAAACAATGTTGTCGACCAATACGGATTCCTAGACAGGTAACTTGTGTAAGTCGACTTGTTGAGTGGTGCCAAGAGTTTTGGACTTACTGATGGCTTTGGGCCAAGGCATGAACTCTCGAGCCAAAGAGCATCAGCCGTCAAGTTTTGAACATTGATTGGCAAAGGTTGTAGAGGCTCCAGCTGTGTCCGGGAAGCAACATCACTGCCTTCTACACTCGAAGGGGCTGATGATATTGTTCGAGAGTTAGGATTAGAATCAGTCTCTTTGTTTCGTTCTGCGAGAAGAGCCTCCAGCCTCTCCAATCGTGTGAGAATGTCCGCCTCCCTGCCCGCAGAAGACGGTCCTCCACCTCCGCCTCCGCCTCCGCTTACACCTCCGCCTGCACGTTTAGAAATCGGCCGTGAAGACGGGGCCGTTGCCCGGGGTGGGTCTTGAGCCTGGCATTGAACTCCGCGGCTTGTGCAATTGGAACACGGAAATTCTCTACTGCAGCGCAACTTGCGCACACGGCAGAAGTTGCAAGACACAGGACGCTGACGAGGCTGACGACCCATGGCTTCAGTTACACTGTTACAGTGGTTTTTTTCTTGGCTTTGTTGTGAGGAATGAATAGGCAGTGATTAAGAACGGGCGAAAATGCCATTCCCCATGGAAGCTCCGCGGAATATCCATGGCCCCGACTCCGACACGGGACAACTTATAACATTACTTCCTTACATTTGGCTTTGCTTACGCCTCCTATTTGTTCGATTTGACTGAAACTATTGGTTCAGTATGATAAATCCTTCTGGATAAATGGCGAGGGTTGTGACTATTACCAATCCATACTATTGTCGAGATTGGCTTGGATCATCTACACCCACTTCCCAATGACTCCCGGTCTCCAGATTGGTATATCGGCCCCGATGTTAAGACACGGACATAAGCCGTTTGCCGTTGAGGCTCCCGGTCAAATGGTCCCTTCGTTTGTAGTATGCATTAGTGCCTCTAGGGAAACTTTAGATCTGCTGGGGATCAAGCATATAATAACAGGCCCCTTCCCAGCCATTCCAAACTCCTTTTAGACCCTCAGCCTTACACGAGCATCTTCTTGCTTGATGCTGTCTGTCAAAGCTCGAACTATCGGATGAGCAGAACTTACTCATAGGTACCGAATCACTCACTCGAGTGCATACAAGACAGCATGAAACACGTCGAAGTTGACGACCAGCTGGTCAGTGCTGCCACTCCAGCACCAATACCCGAAGAGGATCTCAAGAAAAGCGAAAGAGATCTTGAAGAGGGATCAACATCAGTCGAATTCGATGATCCTCCTTCCGATGACCCCAATATCGTTAATTGGGACGGCCCTGACGACCCAGCCAACCCTCAGAACTGGTCAATGAAGAAGAAGACAATCAATGTCATCCTCGTCTCATCTGTTACATTCGTCACGTAAGAATACTCCATTTCCTTTTGATAAAGCTCACTCACCTAACACTTGCAGGCCACTTGCGTCTTCCATCTTTGCACCAAGTATCGATCAAGTCATGAGGGAGTTCCACTCGACAAACGAGCAACTGGCATCGTTCATCGTCTCAGTATACCTTCTTGGTTACTGCTTTGGTCCCCTAGTCATCGCACCTTTATCCGAAATGTACGGCCGACTCCCGCTGTACCACATCTGCAATGTTCTCTTCGTCGCCTTCACTGTGGCCTGCGCCAAAGCCCCTAACCTGGGGGGACTTATTGCATTCCGACTCCTTGCTGGACTTGCTGGATCATGCCCGCTAACAATCGGAGCTGGCTCGTTAGCTGATATGATCTCCAAGGAGAAGCGTGGAGCTGCCATGTCTTCGTGGGCTCTCGGACCTCTTTTTGGACCAGTAATTGGACCGATTGGTAAGTGAAACTTTAGGTTGAGTGGTGCCCAAAGCTGACAACTCTAGCTGGTGGATATCTTTCGGCAGCGAAGGGCTGGCGATGGTCTTTCTGGGTTGTTGCTATTGTTGTAAGTAAACTCTCATATCTATACTTGGATGTTGAACCAAAGGCTGACATTGGTTATCGATAGGCTGGTGCGATCACGATTGTTGCTTTCATTTTCATGAGAGAGACATATGCGTACGCTCTTCTTGAGAAGAAGGCCAAGAAGCTGCGCAAAGAAACAGGGAACACTAAGCTTCGTTCAATCCTTGACAATGGCACTACCACGAAGGAAGTCTTCCGTCTGGCTATTACGAGACCTACCAAGATGCTTCTCTTCGCGCCCATCGTGTCGCTTCTATCATTTTATATGGCTCTGGTGTACGGGTATCTCTACCTTCTCTTCACAGCCATGCCAACACTCTTTGAGGGAGAATATCATTTCTCCAGTGGATCAGTTGGTCTGTCATATATTGGTCTCGGAGTTGGCTCCTTGACAGGGCTTGTCATTTCTGGAGCATCAATAGACCGCTTCGCTCAATATCTTACTAGCAAGAATGGTGGAGAGCCCAAGCCAGAGTATCGACTTCCGTTCATGGGGGGGGCTTGCTTTATCGTTCCGGCTGGATTATTTATGTTTGGATGGTCTGCTGAGCATAAAGACCATTGGATTGTGCCCATCATCGGTACTTCATTCTTGGGATGTGGCATGATCATCGTATTTGTAAGTGCTCTACCTCTATATGCTGCAACCCGATTCCAGCTCACTGACTCTTGATCAGATGTGCATCTCAGTCTACCTGGTCGATGCATACGTTCAGTATGCTGCATCTGCCATTGCTGCAAGCACTGTACTTCGTTCGCTGGTTGGAGCATTATTGCCTCTTGCAGGACGAAGTATGTACAAGAGCCTAGGTTATGGATGGGGAACCTCATTGCTAGGCTTCATTGCAGCTGCAGCAATCCCATTGCCGTTTATCTTTTACAAGTACGGCGAAAGGATTCGAAGAAAGAACTTGTTTGACGTCAAGTTCTAGATGGATAGACAATATGCGTATTTATGTTATGATTGTAAGCTCTTGGGGGAACGTATTGATAAACGAGAAAAAGTCGGCATTAGGATCTGAGGCGGGCAATTAGGATCATCTCCATTCTGTATAGATAGAGTAGGAAGCACACTTGCGAGCACCAGCAATAGGTGATGGTTAATAAGAACAAGGGTAGCAACTCCAGATGTATTCATCAGCCTTGTGATACAGAGAGTTTTGCCAGATTCTGACATGTTCATGTCTTTAGAGCCCGTTGCAGATCTCAAGCTCCGAACCTTGCCGGAATCAGCTGAGCAGACTTGGTCTTTACTGTTGATCCTTGTTCTTTAACTGGTGAAGTCACCGTATCCATCGTGCCATGAAACTTTGTCCGGTTGAGATTGAGTGAAAGATTGAATGGAACTCTTGGATTAAACAAAATGCGATGGAACCTTGGACAAATCTGAAACTGTTTCGTCCTGAAAAATGTCATACTTATCAATATCAAGTCCAATTAATTCATGACATCTGATCCATGCCGTTGGGTTCAGTGTCTTGTAAGCTTTGGCCAATCATGGACAAGGCGATTTCATCAGTTCGTGCAAAACCGGCAACAAGGAAAAGAATAGATCACGTGATAAGAAAAATGCACCAATCCGAGCCCGAGGCAAGAGGGACCCATCGTATGATTGCTCCCGTCTTGCTAATTCTGACATTCCCCGAATAACTCGCCTTCTTCTCCACGAAACCTCTCTCGAACTCGCACTCGCACTCGCACTCCACGCTCTCGAGCGCACCAATTGAGCTTCTCTCTCGCTCGTCTCGTCATCGCCGATTACCTCACATATACCGTTCACGATGCTGCGCACATCAGCCTCCAACCTGCTGCGCAAGAGCCTGGTGCGCAGCACTCCCGCCCTGGCCTCACGGGCTGCCTCGACTCACGCCATCTCTAACCCGACCCTCGCCAACATCGAGAAGCGATGGGAGGGCATGCCTCTCCAAGAGCAGGCCGAGCTCTGGATGGCTCTGCGTGATCGCATGCAGTCCAACTGGACCGAACTGACCCTCCAGGAGAAGAAAGCTGGTGCGTCACAAACTCTCCTCAACTGCGAAAATACCTCCATCCCGCCCGCGTAGCCGAGATATTGGGTCACAACCACCACAACACATCACAACACATGCTTCAGCCTTGCCGGTCATTGATGATTCACTCAACACCTCAATTGCACAGCTTCAGTCTTGCATTGGACCCTCCACGAGCCTCAATTGCATCATGTAGAACCCAAGCACCCAATTCGTCTTCCTGATTGGTAGATGGGGCTTCGATATAGCTTTGCCCGTTACATCAACGGCCCATTCCCTGCATCACCATGTATAACTGCGTCACAACCATAAAACTAACTCAAACTCTCTCAACAGCTTACTGGATTGCCTTCGGTCCTCACGGTCCCCGCGCTGTCGACCCCCCTGGAACCGGTGCCCGCGTCGCCTGGGGTGTCTTCATTGGTCTCGCCGCCAGTGTCGCTCTCTTCGGTGCTGTCCGTGTTGTCGCCAAGCCCGCTCCTTACACCATGACCCAGGAGTACCAGGAGGAGACCAACGAGTTCCTCAAGGTATGTTCCATCTTGTCTACATCGCATCCGGTCACCTGGCTAACAAGGACTTTCAGAACCAAAAATCCGATCCTTTCACCGGTATCACCTCTCCTGGTTATGCTGGCAAGGGTATGGTCCAGTCTCCCCCCAAGGGCAACTAAATTCAATACACAACATCGTTTCCTTTGTGCTAGAAGCTGGAGTGACTCTACGGAGACGTATTGATGTGTAAAAGGGCCTCTGGTACGTATGGATATGACCAGAGGTTTCGAGGTCGCTCCAGAGATATCAAGTCCTCTTGGTGTAAATACTGTACTACAACAACGAAACCCGAGTCGAGTCATTTGTTTGATTGAATTTGTTCGCTTGCCTATCTCTGTGGGAGCGTACCCGAAGCTTTGCCTAACCATTCTGTCGACATTAAATCCAGTTAATCAAAATAGTAATTGCTCCAATACGCCTCGTTTCCAATGATGTTGAACTTAGCCACCGCTCTGTCCTGCTTCTCGGTACTTTTCAAATGTGTTCTCGGGTTCCCCTTTGGCTGGATTCATCTCTTCTGCCTGCATCCTTCTGTCCACCTCAAACCGGCCGTCCTTGCCCCAGTATCCTGCCTTCTCCGTTCCCTTTACGCATCCTTCGGTGATGAGTACATAAGGCATCGGAGCATCAAACATGGGCTCTGCTAGGACACGCTCCATCTCCATCTTGAGACCTCGGGCGCCTGTTTCTGAAGCAGCAGCTCGCTCCGCGATAGCATATAATGATTTCTCTGTGAAGAATAATCGCGAAGGGTACGTCTCGAAAAGAGCGGTATACTGAGCAACAAGGCTGTTTTTGGGTTCAGTCAGAATACGTAAGAGATCTTCTTTAGAAAGCGGACTAAGAGCACAGATATTGTGCAGACGCCCTATCAACTCGGGAATGAAACCGAAGCTTTGCAGATCAGCAGGAGTGGTAAGATCTAACGGCGTGAACGATGAAGCTGATTGAGGGTTGTGGTGAGGCAAATGCGTATATGTTTCTGCCGGCAGAGTTTGCTTGTTGCCAGACATAGAGGAGCGTCCCCTAAGTTCTCCGCCGAATCCCATCGTCGGTCTTGCAACTCTCTTCAGGACAGCCTTGTCTAGCCCGACAAAGGCGCCGCAGAACACAAAGAGAATGTTAGTAGTGTCAATAGTATACTGGTCAACCTTGCCACCTGGAGGAGCTGCCTGAGGAGTTGAGGAAGATGGCCCAGATGCGCTATAGTTCGTCGTGATAGGTGGCGTAGATCGGGATGAGCGGTTGTCCTTGACATTGATGGTAACTTTTGTTCCCTCAACGAGCTTCAGCAGCGCCTGTTGAACACCCTCGCCCCCAACATCCCGACCAGTAGTCGTTTCGCGCCTTGCAATCTTGTCGAATTCATCTAGAACAACAATACCGTGCTCTGTTGCCTTGATGTCATAATTGGCTTCGATAAGGAGCCGCTCGATGCAGGTCTCAACGTCCTGTCCTATGTATCCAGCCTGAGTGAAGGAGTTGCAGTCACAGATAGAGAAGGGTACGTTTATCTTTTTGCTTAGTGTTCTAAGTTCTGTCAGTTTAATCGTTTCAGCAGTTGATAGAAGAAGACAGACTCTAGGATGTAAGTCTTGCCAACACCCGTGGGACCGACCAGAAGGAGGTTACTCTTGTCTATCTTGACGTGATCGGGAACTGTTATATCCTCTGCAACATAGAGATGGTCCATTGGGTCATCATCGAATTCGTGGTTATCGTGAAGCGCACGGACCGACTCATTATGGCCCGGGAACTCATCTTTAAGAGTATCAGCAGCGTAACGCTCAGGGATAGAACCATGTACACGCTGACCTTCGACAGGGTGCATCTCACGACGTTTCTGATGCAGTTCTCTGTCTCTCGCAAACCTCTGGCGCATTACCTTATCCCGCCTGTTCCGGTCCTCGTGCTCATGTTGGTGTCTTCGCCGTAGATTCTGGTAGTGATTGAAGATGGTTGCGCATATTGTCTTCTTGGCCCGGTCCTGGCCAACGACGTAGTCGTCTACTCTTTTCTTGAGATCGCGTGGGTAGAACTGTGGTACGCCAAAGTTGGTCTTGTTGAACATGGGGCCACGCCCCGCATCGACTGATGGGTCATAGCTGCTACTGAAGCCTGAATTGAAGTCGTTGTTGCGTCGTGAAGCTATAGGGGAGCCTGAGATATAGCGGTGTTGTTGTCGTAATCGGGAATTGTAAGAGGATAGGCAACGTGTCGTAGTAGGTACCAGTCGTGTGGCACAGCGCGAGAGATGGCAAAGACAGCAACGAGCGGTAGGGAGTGCCCTTACGAAGGGCGACATTATGATATATATTCAGTTTGCATAATATTGAAGGATGATACAAAGCGGAGCGTCAGGCGATAGTTGACTGAGTTGTAGTATATCTTGGCAGACGATGACGGGAAGCGGGGAACGGTTACAGCTTAATGTGGTCGTGCGAGAGCAAGGCCGACGATAGAGCCTATCGATTCGATAGCATGGAAATGGTTACAGCGAGACTGGTTATAGGGCTGGCGTAGGGAGGACGATGCTTCTATGACTGTAGTTACGGAATTGAGGATTGTGTGATACCGACCTGCGCTTTGTCTGACCTACCAGCTCCGGGACCCTTCCGCCGCCAGCAGCGTCCGCTATCGGGGTCAGGTGGAAGCTTAGGCACCTTAGAGCCCAGGCCAACCGTCAAGGCAATTGCGCACAGGAGCTGATAGCGAGTAGCAGCCACTGACAGGCCTAGACTGCAGCGGCGTCCCCGCTAAACAAGCCGGGCCGACATGGGGGATCTGATGCTAGCCCCCGGCCTCCCCAAGCACCCCAAAGCGCAAACTATTTGCTCCATTTGAATTTGATGGGACCCGTCCGAACTGCACAATGATTCTCGCGCAACATCAGAAGTTGTCTTCTACAGGAAGTGGCGATATTACGAGGCTCTCGGTTGGGTCCAGTGTCACCCTCTCTCAACCACATGTTGAGCGTTGCAGACACATAGACTGAAAATGCCTTCCATTTAAGGGACAGCGTGCAGATACGTACCGTAGCCGTTGAGAGAAATTCACCATTCGCGACGTCATCCCAACTTATCGATAAAGCTCTGAGTGGGCAACCCGAACTGAAACTGAAAGGTTGGCAACCTTAGGCGAATGAGCTAGATAGGAGGTTGCAAGGTCTCTGATATTGTAGTTCTACTTCTGTTGCCACAATTTTCTGATTCTTCATCTTATTTTTCAAGCCTCTTTTCATCTGGGAAGTTGCTTTAAGATCCTTTGTGCTTCTGTGTCGATTCTTCATCTCCCTCAATTGTGTCTCACTTCAAGCTCAACAATTGTCTGAAGCTTGCAACACCAATATCCTGACTACCCCGCCCACCTGAAGACCTACATTACCTACCTACCTCCCTTCTACAACCGCGTCGTATTTTCAATTCAACTTTGAAAAATGGCCGCAATTGTTGAAAACTCGTCCAATTCCTTGGACCCCAATCACTCTGGCGGCGCTGTGGGTGACATTCCTAACGATGGTACAGGTAAGCCTATGCATGGCCCGACATGTGATGATCTGATAGTCAAGAACGCCACGCTCATGATGTATTCTAGGCGTTGTGAAGCTCGATCCTTGGCTGGAGCCCTTCAGCGAAGCCCTCAGAAGGCGCTTTTCTAAAACTCAAGATTGGATCAAGACCATCAATGACACCGAAGGTGGTCTTGAGAAGTTCAGCAGGGTAAGCTTCTAGCTTCCAATTCACCGAGTCGCGTTACTGATACTTGTTGTCTATAGGGCGCTGAGAAATTTGGCTTCAACGTCGATGCTAATAACAACATTGTCTACCGTGAATGGGCGCCCAATGCCACTGCCGCGTTCCTGATCGGCGATTTTAGTACGTCTCCAAACTCAATCATACATACATGCGCTTACAATTTTACCTTAGACAATTGGGACCGCAATGCTCATCCCATGACCAAGAACGATTTTGGCGTCTTCGAAATTACAATTCCTGCCAAAGATGGACAGCCTGCCATTCCTCACCTTTCCAAAGTCAAGGTATGTCAAAATCCAGACGCAATTATAAGACATCACATCTAATATGTCTACCTAGATCTCGCTCAACTTGCCCAATGGTGAGCATGTTGATCGACTTCCGGCTTGGATCAAGTACGTGACACAAGATTTGTCTGTATCTCCCGCATACGATGCCCACTTCTGGAACCCTCCAGCCTCCGAGACATACAAGTTCAAGAACTCTCGACCCAAGAAGCCCGCAAGCGTTCGTGTGTATGAGGCGCATGTCGGTATCTCCAGCCCTGACCAGCGGGTTGCGACTTACAAGGAGTTTACCAAGAACATGCTTCCACGAATTAAGAACCTAGGTTACAATGTGATTCAACTGATGGCTGTGATGGAACATGCGTACTATGCCAGCTTTGGCTATCAAATCAACAACTTCTTCGCAGCTAGCAGTCGATATGGTACTCCCGAGGACCTCAAGGAGCTCATTGACACCGCTCACGGCCTCGGAATTACCATGCTTCTCGATGTTGTCCACAGCCACGCTTCCAAGAACGTGCTCGATGGCATCAACGAGTTTGATGGTACCGATCACCATTACTTCCATGGTGGCGGCAAGGGCCGACACGATCAGTGGGACAGCCGACTATTCAACTACGGCCACCATGAGGTGATGCGGTTCTTGCTGAGCAACTTGCGTTTTTGGATGGACGAGTACCAATTCGACGGTTTCCGATTTGATGGAGTGACCAGCATGCTATATGTTCATCATGGCATGGGCACGTAAGTGACACTATCACGATCTTATCGGCCTATCATGCTAATTCGAACAGGGGCTTCTCCGGTGGCTATCATGAGTACTTCGGTGCAGATGTTGACGAGGAGGCTGTTGTCTATATGATGCTTGCAAACGAAATGTTGCATGAACTCTACCCCGAGGTCATTACCATTGCTGAGGATGTCTCTGGTATGCCAGCACTCTGCCTGCCACTTTCTCTTGGTGGCGTTGGATTCGACTACCGCCTTGCCATGGCCATTCCTGATATGTGGATCAAGATTCTGAAGGAACTCAAGGATGATGAATGGGATATTGGCAACATCTGCCATACACTTACCAACCGTCGACACGGCGAAAAGACTATCGCCTATGCTGAGAGCCACGACCAGGCGTAAGTTAATGCTCCTTTGACTTGTTTCACTTTCAGCTACTAACATGCACAGTCTTGTCGGTGACAAAACACTCATGATGCATCTGTGTGACGCTGAAATGTATACCAACATGTCTACTCTGTCGCCCCTGACTCCTGTCATTGATCGTGGTATGGCACTCCACAAGATGATTCGACTTGTGACACATGGCCTTGGAGGAGAGGGATATCTGAACTTTGAGGGTAACGAGTTTGGTCACCCCGAGTGGCTCGACTTCCCGCGTGAGGGCAACAACAACTCATTCTGGTATGCTCGACGACAGCTCAACCTTACGGATGATCCCTTGCTCCGATACAAGTTCCTTGATCACTTTGACCGCTTGATGAACCAGACTGAGGCCAAGTATGGTTGGCTCCATGCGCCACAGGCATATATCTCATTGAAACATGAAGGTGACAAGGTTATTGTGTTTGAGCGCGGTGGTCTGGTCTTTATCTTTAACTTCCACCCAACCAACAGCTTCAGCGACTACCGTATCGGAATTGATGTCGCAGGAACTTACCGTGTCGTTCTCAACACAGATAGCAAGGATGTTGGTGGTCACAACCGTGTCGATGAGAACACCCGATTCTTCACTACCCCCATGGAATGGAACAACAGGAAGAACTGGACTCATATCTATATTCCCTGCCGAACTGCTTTGGTAAGTGAGCCCGGTTTTCAAATGACTGTTTGCGTTTCCTAACATGTTCTTGCAGGTTCTGGCTCTTGAGTCCACAATTTCCCAGCAGTCCTGAGTATGGAAGATGAGAGATGGAAACGGGGGCCGTGGTGAAGCTGCAAGAAGAAGCATCTGACTAGAGTGATTCCTTCATTTGGCGGGGACTGTTACAAAGTGCGCCGTTATTGGGATGAGACCCTGGTTGACGTGTCTCAGGGTTGTTTTGTTTTGCAGATATACTATAACATCTGAAATAATAAAAGTCGACAGTCAAGAACAACAACTTCAATGTCCTAATACCTCCTTTTACCAGTCGCAAGGAGCGAGGCTGACATGATCAATAGTATTATGGTTCTATAGCGTTGCTACTCGTGGTGGGGTTCTGACGATGCTCGGATTTTTCGGCTCGGTTATTCGGGAATGGATCGAAACAAAGCTCATTATTTAAAACATTGAAGTAAATTCGATCGTAAGATGTATTGGTCTAGTATTACATATTTCTTGGTGATCGAAGAAAATGGCATCTGCAATTGATAACCGAGACATTACTGTCTTGAATGGGTATAAGTGTTATTTGAAGCCCGGTTACCGAAGCTAATCTGGATGTCGTCAGGTTGTTGAGATTTGAACCGGGGTCGGCTAATGGGGGGAACGGCCTGAACGGTCAAGGGGAAAGAAAAAAAAGTTGGAATGGAACAATTGGCAAATCTCAGCCAAAATTTAAATGGACCATCTAAAACTTGCAACAAGCAATTGCCCGTTGTTATTGGTTGGAACCAGGACCATCTCGGCGTAGCTAATAGACAGACCAATAGGGTTAGACACCTGAGGGAAGAGGACGGGATGCAAGATGGGGATCCCTGACTGGTCTTGTTGCCCCAGAAAAGCCTTGACTTGACAGCATCTCTTGAGAAGAACGTGGATGAGGCTGGTGATGATTGAAATCATGATGTTCGTGGTGATCTAGATGTGAATTAATATAGCGTTCAACGCATCGACTTGATCAGGCCGCGCTCGTCATCTACACTGAGCCCGGTATTTGTTTGTATGCAGTACTTCCGTGGTTTTCGGATCATCAGCCAATCCATCTTGAGCTTCCACCACCATCTCATAGAACTCAGCAGCACGCAGGTAAACCAAGCCAGGTCAATGCTACTTTCCCCGCTCCGTTTTGCATCTTCCCCCTCAGAATGACATCCAGGGGTTTAATTGCTGCGAGATCATTGATGCCTTTGACTTCAACAATTGAGTCAATTCTACATATAGAGCCAAGAATGAGATAACTGAGTGAAGATTCGGTTTCGGATATGCATCGAAGCTCAGTCATTCACCTTTCCATGTAAGGAAGAATGGATCAGTCCCATGATTAAGTTGAAGATGGAACCAAAGCCATTTAATGCCTGCAGGCCTAAGGAATAAGGACTCAGTGACGATTATAAGGCATCTCTCTCTCTCTCCACTGCTGCTGTTTACACTGGTTTCTATGGCCCCAAAAATGCCTGGCTCTGAGTGACCTTCAAGGGGAGGCAAGAAGACTTAAGACCTCAATCCTAAATGACAAAAATACTTAGGTAAATTAATATGAATTTAGGAAAGATTTAGTCGACCTTAGAATAAGTATTTATGGCACCTTGCCTTACGTCGGAAGTTTTGCTGCTCCCTGAAGGCCTTGGTTCTGGCGAGACAACCGCTATGGTTCAAGGTGGGAGAGCCAGGTCTGCGAATAATCCCGTCATGTTCATCCCGGGAAATTGCCGGCATCGCAGCTTCCCCGGCGGGGCCAGAGGTAATTTCGGGCTAGCGTTCCACGTGACACTCTACGAAAGCTCTAACTGACCAAGTCGTCCTCCCGAGCAAAACTGCTCACCTCCCGTAAAAGTTCTCCCTCAGCTTCAACCAACCTCTCTCCACTCCCATCTCTGATCGCTCTTTGTCATCTGGCAAGATGTTCAAGAGGTGAGTAATGATCGCAAGAACGAATGTCGAAGATTTTTCGATGACGTTTCCCTCCCAATTGAAGCCCAATTGAGCTGACCCTTGCGTTTTTCCCTCGGCAGCGGCATTTCCTCCTTCGCCCGCGCGGCTCGCCCGGCCGTCCTCCCTCGACGTGCCCTCCGACCTTCATCTCTCCGACTCCCCATCTCCAGCCGATGGGCGAGCACTGCCAGCGTCGGCACCGGCAAGATTCACCAGGTGAGAACGAGCCGCTCCTCAGTCCATTCCGGTCGCCCGGGCAATACCGACCGCACAAGAACTCCGTGCTAACCCGACTGTTCGCAGGTCATCGGTGCCGTCGTCGACGGTTAGTCAATCATCTATCACAGGCTTTCGACGAGCCTGGCACGACACGGCGAAAACAATACTGACGTTATTGCAGTCAAGTTCGATACTCAGAAGCTCCCCGCCATTCTCAACTCTCTTGAGACTGAGAACAATGGCCAGAAGCTCGTTCTCGAGGTTTCCGTATGTTCACATCCAATTATCTCATATGACTGGTCAATTCTAACATCCTCAAGCAACATTTGGGAGAGAACGTCGTCCGTTGCATTGCTATGGACGGTACGTTATGACCACTTGGAAATTTCTCATACTTCAAACCCCTAACACATTTTTACAGGTACTGAGGGTCTCGTTCGAGGTGCTTCCGCCCAGGACACTGGTGCTCCCATCACCATTCCTGTCGGTCCCGCCACTCTTGGCCGTATCATGAACGTCACTGGTGACCCCATTGACGAGCGTGGTCCCATCAAGACTGACAAGCGCCTTCCTATCCACACCGAAGCCCCCGAGTTCGTCGAGCAGTCCACCTCTGCTGAGGTTCTTGTTACTGGTATCAAGGTCGTCGATCTTCTTGCTCCCTACGCCCGTGGTGGAAAGATTGGTCTCTTCGGTGGTGCTGGTGTCGGCAAGACTGTGTTCATTCAGGAGCTTATCAACAACATCGCCAAGGCCCACGGTGGTTACTCCGTCTTCACTGGTGTCGGTGAGCGAACCCGTGAGGGTAACGATCTGTACCACGAAATGCAGGAGACTTCCGTCATTCAGCTTGATGGCGAGTCCAAGGTCGCCCTGGTCTTCGGTCAGATGAACGAGCCCCCTGGAGCTCGTGCCCGTGTCGCCCTTACTGGTCTTACTGTAGCTGAATACTTCAGAGATGAGGAGGGTCAGGACGTGCTGCTCTTCATTGACAACATTTTCCGATTCACTCAGGCCGGTTCCGAGGTGTCTGCCCTTCTCGGTCGTATCCCCTCTGCCGTCGGTTACCAGCCCACCCTCGCCGTCGACATGGGTGGTATGCAGGAGCGTATTACCACCACCACCAAGGGTTCCATTACCTCCGTCCAGGCCGTCTACGTCCCTGCTGACGATTTGACTGATCCTGCCCCTGCCACCACCTTCGCTCATTTGGACGCCACCACTGTCTTGTCTCGTGGTATCTCTGAGTTGGGTATCTACCCCGCTGTCGACCCTCTCGACTCCAAGTCCCGTATGTTGGATCCCCGAGTTGTCGGTCAGGAGCACTACGACGTCGCCACCCGTGTCCAGCAGATCCTCCAGGAGTACAAGTCTCTTCAGGATATCATTGCCATTCTGGGTATGGATGAGTTGTCTGAGGCCGACAAGCTTACTGTCGAGCGTGCCCGTAAGATCCAGCGTTTCCTGAGCCAGCCTTTCACTGTCGCCCAGGTTTTCACTGGTATCGAGGGTAAGCTCGTCGACCTTAAGGAGACCATCAACTCCTTCAAGGCCATCCTTAACGGTGAGGGTGACAACCTTCCTGAGGGTGCCTTCTACATGGTTGGTGACTTCGCCTCTGCCAAGGCCAAGGGTGAGAAGATTCTTGCTGAGCTTGAGGGTCAGTAAGGGGTTTAAGTATTGAAGTTAATGCCGCGGGAGACGGGAGGAGAGAAATAAAGGACCTGTGTATAGAGAAGAGGAACAAAGGTCCCGGGAGGTTTCTCATAAGCTCCACCAAGTCTCTTTTGTGAGCTGTGTACTAAGAAATCAACAAAATTCCTTTTGTAGCCATATCAAGCTTTCTTTTTTACTAAAAGTGATCCATTCTGACTGACCGTGGCTATGACGAGTGACTCTGTAGTGATTAGGCAAAGCCGCATACAGAAGAGCGACCTAAGAACGCAAGAAGAAGTGTACCTTCTGGCTTTATCTTTAAATTAAGGCATTTAGAGTTGATTAAGAAATCTGCTCTTTGGCCATCAGTCAGATAGTCAATTGGACCGGCCATAGGCTTATTAGAGCCGCATAGGGTCGTTCCTTTAAAGTGAAGCTATTCACAGATCAGGGCAAGAAATAGAGGTCAAAGTGCCAATTAGACTGAGCTTCAGCAAGGTCAGTAGTACCTTAGATTAGTAATTAGAGCAAGTAGCCTAGCTGCAATTAAGACCTTTCAGAGATACAGGCAATGGATTAGGTTGCCTTTTGGTCAAGTTCCCGAGAGGTCACCGAAGGCAAGCCAGCTATAGGCCCCCTCGAGGGTAATCATGAAACATCCTCTATATAAAGATTGAAGAGAACCTCTTTTTTTTTTTTTTAAGAAGAAAATTCTCTCTTTAGGCACTAAAGATAAGAAGAGCCATAGTGCCAAGAGGCACAGCAAGGTAAAGGAAGAAGGCCATTTAGTCAAGCTACCTAGGCAGAGGCATTTGCCTCGTCTAAGATAACATGCTATCAACATCAGGGTCTCTAATATTCGATATCGATGTTGAATTATAGTCAATGCCATACTTAGTCTATTTCATTTTGACTACTTAATATCCGCCTAAGGAATTTCTCTTCAGCTTCTTTTATCCATGGACTTTAGATATAGATGAACTTGATGACTCTCCCAGTACGATATATTAGTACCTCATAGAGTTAATAGCAGAAGTGGAAGATTAGCAGTTATACATGAATTTGACTCTATTTTTGCTGAAAAGGGAGACTTTCAAGTCTCACGGGTATCCAATAAACCGTTCCCAAACATCCTCTCGTTCCCTGACTCCCTGTATTATTGATTCTGTCAAATTATCCACCATGGAACATGTTCGGTCATGGATCGAATGTAAAGGTGGAGTTCATGTCAGTCCTCCATTTCTCAATAGCCTCTCCCTTTGTTATAACTTGGCCTCTTGAATCCATGAGCACGAGCTTCTTCTCCGCAGGAATCCACTCAACTCGTCTTCCCTTCTCGTCCACAAGGGTGATAGATGCTGTGGGATCTAACCGTAGGCTGTTGGGTTTTTGCGGTGACCAGTTTGGATCTTCGAACAAGACTCTTCCAAGCTCGAGCTCGCCTTCGACGAGGCGTGCCATGTGCGGGACGAGAAGATATTGCTGCCACTCTGGGCCGATGTGCTCGCAAAGATCCCGCAGTGAACGGTTTCCGACATTCTTTATCCACCAGACATCTGAAGGGAACTTGAGAAAGGCGGCATAGTAGGCGAGAATGATGAGAGCCCGGGGGCGCAATTCGCGTGCGAGCTGGACGAAGTTCCGGGGCACAAAAGTGAACCAGGTGATGATCCGCAGCATCATGGTGGGCCCGAAGCCATCGTGCAAGTTCTGATACAAAGATCCGAGGAATTGAAGTGTCTCGTAGTAGGTTTCCACGTTGAGATAGTCTGGATCGCTAGGCTCAATGGAGTTGAGCATAGAGACAAGGCAAGCAGGAATGTGGTTTGTGGCCTGCTCAACGTCGACAGAAGGTCTGTTAAACAAACAGTAAAGGCCCGAGTCAATGAGTTTCTCAACGCCCATGAGATCAATAACGAGGCCAATTCCCCTCCAGACAATCATCCAATCGATCA